CAAGCAGCATCAGAGGAGCAGGTTGTGGGTTCAAGTCAGAAAAAATGAAGAAGGGTCTAGGCCGGAAACGTCAGCCTTCCTGCTGCTTGGCCTGCTGTGTTCATCCATCTCTACACCTTGTTATCTTGGAACCTGCAAGTGATGGGCCATTTGTTGCTAATACAGGCTGAACAGTTTGACAGTTAACAAAAAAAAACTATATTGTTTTATGGCAAATTATTGCATAAATATTGCCTGCAATACCCGGGGCTGGTTATTATGAATATTTATTATTACGCTTGGCGGCTTGGGGCTAATTTATCATGAGGTGCAGGACAGTTTGGAGGGGGGGTGGGCACAGCTACGATTGCGTTAGCAAACCCACCGAATCTCCGCGTCTTACAAACACGTCGTCATTAACATTAGTCACTGTTCAAGAGAGGCGATTTGAAGAGGCCGCAGGGTGGTCTACACGTCCGTCCTTCCCCCATTCCCCGGCCCACTCTGCATTGAGTACATTTCACACCAGCTCTGCTCCTCCCACTGAACATGTTGGCGTTCGCAGTGACGTTAGTGCCTGTTCCCAAGCGCGTCTGATCTGAAGGTTCGCAGCCTCTCGCCTTGTCCCGATGTGCGTCAAAGTGAGCGATGGAGGAGGCGTTTCAATGAATTAATCGATTCCATTTCAACCACCCCCCGCTCCGCTCCACTTCTCCGCTGGTACCAGCAGAACCTCAGAGAATAAACCAGGACACACTCGATTCCATCAATGTCTTCCTCATAATCGGTACAGCACTTTCACAGATTGTCTAGAAATGTCCCATCTGACATTTCAGAACTAGGAGCAGGATTAGGCCATTCAGCTCCTCGCTAATTTAATATCATCAAGGCTGACCTCATCCCGGCCGCAACTCCCCTTTGCTGCCCACTCCCCGTAACCCTTCAACCCATTACTAATTTGAAAGAACTGTCTACCTCCTTCTTAAATTTACTCAAAGTCCAGGCATCCACCACACTCTGGGATTATAAATTTCACTGATTCACTGCCCTTTGGGAGAAGCAATTCCTCCTCACATCGTTTTTAAATCTGCCACTTTCTTTTCAACCGTATACTTTATTCATAAAAAAAATCTTCATATGCATACATAGTCACTAAAGCAGTTCAGTTCTGTACAGCATCATATGAAGAAAGAAACAAATATTGGAGTTTGACTCTATCAGGCAAACAAACCAACCAACGTGTTTCTTGCTTGTACAAGATTATCTTTATATATATTTGAGGCATCAGAAGGGTCTGATAACTGAATGGACCCCCATTTTTGATCAGGAAGACCCCGGACGGTTGTCTTTCCCCAT